ATCCATTCAAATCAAGGTTTGATAACCCCTTTGAAATTACTTTTCAAGTTAAATGGCATGGTGTAATCACTTGTACAAAGATCGGAATAAAACCGAAGCTCAAAACTTTGCATTTTAAATCATTTAACAAATGCTTTTAGCTATGCATATCACATAAAAACATAAGGCACAGATTTTGATACAAACATCGTGAAAGGCTTGTTTCTTGGTTTCAAAAACTCTTCTCATATATGGCTTATCTATAGTTATGTTCAAAACTCCTTTCAAACAATTTGCACCCATAAACTTCCTATAGTTTCTATCAGCTATTCTTTCCACAATAGCAATATAAATCGTTAAAAATCCGTTGGAAATTGCCTAACAAGGCTAACAGCTTATACTATCCATAATTGCACTTAGAAAAACCATCAATATTTATTAATGTAAATCATTATATATATAGCACGAGATTTTTAAAATACGCACCCCTTACTCACCTTACAATAGCATGACGCTACATCGCTATTGATTTGGGCACGTATCTAACTAATTCCACTCGTCGATTACCCGTTACTTCCTCTGGCATGCCACCATAGCACTTTCTTACTCATACACTTCCTATCAACCATATAAATTCAATACACTTAATTTATTCATATACATGGCAGCACATCAATCAATAATTCTGTAACCTAATCTCATTGTTCATTAACCCTTACTTATAATTATTTAACATACAATCCATATTCTTCAATCATCAATGCCAACACAACACCACGCAATCACATTGCATGCTTACCTTAACTTGAAAATATCATGCATACATTAAGGGGGAGCACACACTTAGAGGGAGCAATTCCTTATCATGTGCAGTACAAAAGAAGCGAATAGACACTATGTTCTTAATCAAGGGATGTTTGTTATCATAAAAAAAGGGGAGATTGTTGGATTCATAAGTTTTTAATGATAACAAAACATTCCCATTCATTAATGTCTAACTATACTACTTGAGTGTGTAGGATAAAAATGTATGTAAATGATAAATTAATTACTTGAAAGTAAACATCAAAACTTATCAGAACAAGAAGTTACAAAGGAGCTACAAATAGAAGCCTCTTAGTCAAATAACCAAGGGAGTTAGTCAGCCAAAATTCAAAAGTGAATTTGGCTGCTTCAAAGACAGTAAGCTTTTAATCGGTTAAAGTCTTACTTAACCGATTAACAAAGTAAAGCATATTGCGAGACAAAGAAAACTTAATCAACTAAGAAGTATAGTTATTCAGCTAAAAGCTCACTGTCAAAGAATTTGATTTGAATGTCTAAAGACAAACTAATGGCTAGAAAGGGTTTTAAATTGTTTTTTTTACGGTCTGAAGCTATCAATATCTATTAGAGTTGATTTTTCAAGTTATAAAAGACATCTCTAATGGCTAAGAAGATCAAGAGAGCTTCCAAGGACAAAAAAGAGCCCAAATACCAAAAATTCTCTCAATTCTTTTTGCGTTTCATTCCAATCTTTGTAATAAAGTTAAACACTTCATTATACCATTTAGATCAAGTTAGTGATCATAGGTACTTTTTCATATCTATATTCCTTAATTACTTAGAGTGTACGGGGCACTCTAAGGAGATTAATCAAGCTTGGGTTAGCTTGCTTGCTATCATAGGTTTTAACTTAGCCTTAGAAAAGTTAGTTTAGGATTTTGGTTAATCTCGGGAAAACCATTGTTAAGGTTGTGCCTGAGCCTGTGAAAAATCATTGTGAAAGCTTGGTGAAAGCTTGGAAATTCCACCGATTCTAGTAAATTGATTTGAAAATCCTTGATTGGAAGATCAACGTAGTGCATGTAAGTCAAAGAAACCAAACCACTATAAATCTTTTGTGCATTGTCTATCTCTTTTATTCGTTCTTTCATTCTCTTTAAATGATCCTTTTATCTAGTTTTCAAATCGTTATCATCTACTTTTAACAAGTCAAATTAGAAGTTAAGATTAGTGACATTTAGAAAATGCTATTCACCCCCTGTAGCACACACCTAGGGACCAACATTGAGTTGTGGATTTCAATTTCTTGAGTTGGTAAAAGTGAAACAAGTTTTAAGGACTATGAAAATGTGTCTATAGACTTTACTTTTCAAGGAAATGGTTTGAATAAGTTTAAAGCTAAAAGCTCAAGAAATTTATAGATTTTGATATGATTTGTAGATGGTATCGATACCTCATGAACAGGTATCAATACTTTTTGAATAGAATGGTGTTTTAAGGTATTTTATACCAAAAGTATTGATACTTGTTCATAACGTATCAATTTTTATTGTCTGTTTTCACCAAAATTATTATGTTCTACCTTGTTTTCCGGCGAGAATGCTTTGGCCACCTATATGAACTAGTGAATTCTTTCAATATGTGATTTAACTCCTATATGGCATGTGCATATGAAGATTGGACTTGGGTGCTTCATGGTTTTGGATTTTTAAAGTAAAAATGCATGGTTTTAAGGAAAACAACAAAGTTTATTAAATCCTTCCATATATTGCTTGTTCCCTTCTACTGTCTCTCATTATAGTTAATGCTAACCATTTTCAAATTGCATGTTTTGGTTTTCAAATCTGGAGGGAGCGGGATCATAGCATTTTCAGGGGGATCCTCACTCACTCTTTTTGATGCACCAGTGGCCATGGCATTCAATAGACCTTTCCTAAAGTTAAGTTGCTCTACTAGCAGTCATATGTCCATTTGTGTTTGACAGATGTTGGATGTATGTATGTATGTATGTTATGAGTAGCAACCACAAGTTGGCTCACAACTATGACCTTTGAGGATGGTTATGTATATGTATGTATATGTTGTACATATAGTGAATCTAAGGCTAAGGCACATGGATGTGCATTGTGTTGATGTATTGGACATAGAAACATATATATAGTGTGATAGTTATACGTTTACAGGTTGGTTATACGTATATAGGTTGGTATCCCATATACAAATATGTAAAGGTTACGTGGGATTGCAATGCTTGCATGGTGGGGTATGCAACTTGGGCTCTAGCATGACCATAGCCCGAGACTAGGTCATGACAATGCGGCCTTTGGAAAAGCTCGAAAAAAAGAAATACAAAAACACAAAGAAACACCCCTGTGGGTGATGGAAAACCTCTGTAGAAGATATGAAAAAGACAGCATAAAAACAAACGTTAGTTAGAGAAAACCTTTCTGGAACCATTTAAAAACGAAATACCAAACAAAAAAAAAGTGCCACCGTCAACAAAGAGAGAGAAGAAGTGGGCTGTTAAGAAAACAGAGAGAGGAGCATCGCCACTAGTGAAAACCCATAAACAAAAATGAACAAAAGAAAAGAAAGCCGTGAGTCCTCGAATTAGAAGAAAACAACGTGCAAACCATTGTCCATACCCCAAAGGCAGAGGTCTGGCCAAAGAGAGCATCGTGTAAATAAATGCTATCCGTAAAAGGAGTCAAAAGTGGAAAGAAAGAGAAAACAGAAAGGCCCAGGTGGTTGTAAGGGACAAAAGAACAAAGAAAGAAAAAAATAGAAAAAAGGAAAAAGAGGAATGAAAACTCGAACTGACGTCCAATTTTAAAGGAAAAGTCACGGAGACCTAACATCTAACAAAAAACTATCCATCCATCAGCTATTGGAAAGCCAAAAAATACTCCTTAGAAGCTCAAAAATAATAAAACCACGTGTCAAGCTCTAAGCATTATATTATGATGTTAAAATCATTTATATAAAATAATATAAGATAAGCTAGTATAATAAGTTATATTAATATTTAACAATCAATAACTTGATATATTAATAACAAAATTTTCATATAGTTCATCATATATTGCATTATGTTTTAATTTTATATAGATTTCTTATATCAATGACATGTATATATGTCTAAAAAAAGATTTATCATATAAATTGATTTTTTGGCATTAGAAATTTGAATATATTTATTCTTTGTTGCTTTGATGTCTTGATGATGAAATTTTTTTAGCATTAGAATTTATTCATATATAAACATGAAAAAACTGTGTAAGTGAATACATGCAAAAAAAATCTTTGGAAATGTATTAAATTCAATGTTGGTTAAGTCGGATAACAAGTTTTATTTTTTTAACCTAACATACTTCACTTAGCTGAAATTCATAACTGACTTATCAATTTAACTAAATTAACCAATTGAATTAATTGAAATTTATCGGTTAATTTGATTAAGTTGCTTTTGATGGACGTTTATACACTTTTAATGAAGGGGTATAACTACTCCTCTGTACAGTAAAAATGTTGTTTGCGAGGAGCTTTCTTTTTTTTGTCTAAGGTAACACTTTTCTAAATTTTCTTAACAAAAACTTTCTGGTGTTGAATTAAACTGTCTATGGGTTAAGTGACTCGCCGGGTCATGAGAGACTTCTTATGCTCCGGATTCCATTAAGCCGAGATGATATTAATTTTAATTTTTAAAATAAAATATTAAATGTTAATTTTAAAATATTTTAATATTTTAATGAACCGAGTAAAAACCTACACCCAACGGATAAAAGCATCAGCGAATCAGTCCGACGACCGCGCACACCTGTACTCCAAATGGCAATTCATCCATTGGAATTTTTGACCCCTATTTCAAGCAGTAGTAGTCCAGTCGTCCACCTCAGCGGAGACACCGCCGCGTGTGATACCCTCCGGTTACTTGACTTATGAAACACCCCGCAGGTGCACACACGCTCCCTGTCTTCGGGTGGGAAAAATCCCGAAACCCCACAGTCAAGCTCCCCTCCACAGTCGAGCCCTATAACCTGCACTTGGACGTCCCGCTCACGCTCCCGAATGTGCTACCTTGCAATTGGTTCGTGTTGAACACGCGAAGCAATCAGCGGGAGTCGAACCTTTCTATCGACCCTATGATACTTCCCGAGCACGGCTCTTTTAATGCACCCACACGCTTCTCTCGAGTCGTTTGTAAGCACGAGGGCACTCCCTACCGTACACCTGTAAGATAAGGATAGAGAGAAAATACGAGTGAAAAAGAACAGAGCTTTTTAGAGAGAGAAAGAAGTGGTGAAGAGAGAGAGACTCAGAAGAAGATCTGAAATCGAGCAACCACAGGTAAGGAGCCGAAATTTCCTCGAGAATCCCTCTTCCTTTGTTTCCTTCTTTCATTTCGTTTGGGATAATATATTTTAGATGGTTGTAGTTTAATTTTGTAGATCGAGGAGGGTTTTTTTCCCTAGACTTGCTGCGTTTCTCGTTGGATTTGGCGGTTAAAACTTGGGGAAACTCAAGTTTGGGTGAATTTGAGGAGGTTAAATGAGGGTTTTGATGGAGGTAGTAAAACCCTAGCTTGGATTGATTGGAGGAGGTGAATTGTGTCGTTGGAGATTGGAGAAGGGTAAATTAGGGTTTTAAGCCCTACTATATATGTATGGCTTCGGCGACAGTTGTTGGAGAAGGAAAAGAGGCTGCAAGAGAGAAGCAGAGGTACACGGAGAGCAAGGTTTATACTAGGAAAGCGTTTAAGGGTCCCAAGAAAAACAATCTTGTCAACACCACAGCTAAGAACAGCAACAACGCCGACGACGACAACAAGAACAGCAACAACAACAATAGCAGTGGCAACAACAACAACGTCAACAGCACTGCTCTGAACAACACCGCTGTCACCACAAACGCTGTCACATTGAATGACGACGGCAATGCTAATGACAAGAATAATGACGACGACAACCACCACCACAACTCTGCTGTAGCACCAGCTCAGCCTCTGCCTTTGGAGGATGTGAATTCCGCACACCAACAGCCTGTTCCGTATGTAGATACTGCAGTTTCTGATGACTCTTCGAGTCTTAACAAACACCAGGTTGTGGCAGGCAACGGAGCAGTGAAGTCCAGTTCAGAGAACCGGGTTAAGATTAATTTGGCTTCAAGGTCAAAGCAGGAGATGCGGGATTTGAGGAGGAAGCTGGAGAGTGAGCTTGATCTGGTGAGGAATTTGGTGAAGAGAATTGAAGCTAAAGAAGGGCAAATAGGTGGTTTTAGTAATTCCCGTCTTCTGTTGAATGACAGTGTTGATTATGGACTGAAGAGGGTTCAATCAGAGGTGGCTTCAGTGGGTATTCCTCAGGAGCCTGTTAGGCAATCAAGGCCCTTGAACCAGTTGAGTATTTCTGTCTTGGAAAATAGCCAGGGTAATGAAAATTTGGAGAAGGAGAAGAGAACACCAAAGGCGAATCAGTTCTATCGAAATTCTGAGTTTTTGCTTGCAAAGGATAAGTTTCCACCCGCTGAGAGTAACAAAAAGTCAAAATTGAACGGGAAGAAGGCAGGAGGAGGCGAATTTACTCATGGGTTTGGTATGGGTAACAAGTTCTTTAAGAGCTGTAGTTCTTTGCTTGAAAGGCTAATGAAACATAAGCATGGTTGGGTCTTTAATGCTCCTGTTGATGTCAAAGGTTTGGGTTTACATGATTACTATAGCATCATTAAGCATCCCATGGATTTGGGTACTGTGAAGTCAAGGCTTAACGCGAACTGGTACAAGTCACCTAGAGAGTTTGCAGAGGATGTGAGACTGACATTTCGCAATGCTATGACATATAATCCTAAGGGACAAGATGTTCATGTAATGGCTGAGCAGTTATCAAAGATATTCGAGGACAAATGGGCTGTTATAGAGGCAGATTATATTCGAGAGATGAGACTTGCAATAGAATATGAAGTGAGTCTTCCTACAGCAACACCAAGAAAGGCACATCCAATGCTACCACCTCCACTTGATATGAGAAGGATCTTGGATAGATCGGAGTCGATGATACGCCCTGTTGATATGAGACCAAAGCTCATTGCTACTACTCCTTCAAGTAGGACCCCTGCTCCAAAAAAGCCCAAGGCAAAGGATCCATATAAGAGAGACATGACTTATGAGGAGAAGCAGAAGCTTAGTACTAACCTTCAGAGTTTGCCTTCAGAGAAGCTGGACAACATTGTACAGATTATTAAGAAAAGGAATTCGTCTCTCTTTCAACATGACGATGAAATTGAAGTAGACATTGACAGTGTGGATACTGAGACTCTCTGGGAGCTTGATAGATTTGTGACCAACTACAAGAAAAGTTTGAGCAAAAACAAGAGAAAAGCTGAACTTGCCATTCAAGCCAGAGCAGAAGCTGAGCAGATTGTACCTGAGAAGGTAAAGCTTTCTGTCATAGTTTCTTATGTAATCATCTTATCCCAAGAGTAGCTGAGTGAATGCTTATGTTTTATTTAGTTGCAGACCACCCCTGCTCCTGTTTTGGTGGAAGTCCCAAAAGAAGCCACAACTAGTAAGTTTCCATGTTATGAGAGTTGATAAGTACTTTGGTTTCTGCCTGCTAGATTGGACCGATAACTAAAAATTTACACACTTCTACCTGCAGATGAGCAGAATGCGTCTGCTTCATCACCTGTTGAAGTCGACAAACAGGGAGATAATGCTAGTAGGTCGAGTAGTTCAAGTAGCTCTAGCAGTGATTCTGGGTCTTCTTCAAGTGGTACTGTGATTTATCTCTAACTAATTATCTTTTTGTTTTCTTTTTTGGTACTTTCTCTCTTATTGTCCTAATAAATGTAATGTTTGTTGCAGACTCCGATAGTGAAAGTTCCTCAGCGTCTGGGTCTGATGCTGGTCACTCACCAAGGTCTTGAATGTTTTTGTGTCAGGTAGGATAAAATGTTCATGTGTCTTACAAAAATTCATGATTTAAATATGCTTCAGAGTTGTTCTATCATATGGTAGTTTCAAACTGATGTATTTGCTTGATTGCAAGTGCATCTTCTGCTGTCGAATTGTGTACAATTTTGTTTATATGTGATGCTTTTGAATAGTATGAATGGTGGTTAGTGATGACATTTGATGTGAATGATGGTGAATATTCTTGCATGGAAGTATCACTATGTAAGTGAGCACATGATAACTTGAATTAAAATTTAGATGAGTAAGCAATTGTGGTTTGTGAGTCCGCAAGGCAACACCTCAATGTTTAAAACCTGAGACTTCAGCTTTGAGGTCTCTGGTAATCATGAAGGAAGAGTGAGATTTGTAAGATCAAGAGAGCTACCTCCTTTTCTGCAGCTTGAAATCAACAGGTTTCCACATGTCAGCTAAGAGGAGAAAATTGTGGACGGTGGGTGTATTGGCAATTAATATCAATTTGTGAGATGGAAGATGTATGGTGTCAACATTGGATGATTTGAGGCTATATAACCAAATATTGAACAATTGTCAGTTAAAAAAGATAGCTTTCTTTTTGGTACGGGGGGTATCTATGATGAATGAAATGAGTTTGCATCTTTCTGAGAAGCAACACTGATTCATATTATTGTGCCTTTGTGTAATCGGATATGCTGCTGTAATTCAACAATGGAAAGAAGACATTATGTTAGTGATGGAAAGAGTGGTGGTATACTTGAAATTCTTGGTAATAAATGTTCATTCATGCAGTGGCAATTCATTAGAGGTACCAGTATCTGGGATTTGGCTTGTTGATGCTATTCTATGTAGTATAAACTTTTTAATAAATGTGGTTTTTGACGTACAGCTTTGGGGGAATCCTTTTGATGCTTTTTAGTTCTGTGATTTTATGATGACATTTACTGTTTTAACTCTTCTGGTCTATTGGCATTATTAAAGAGTTTTAAATCCATCTTTTTTCCCTCTTTTTTAAACTTCAAAATTTGCTATTTTGTTTGTACTGTGAATAGACATGATAAGTCAAGAGAAATAAGTTTGCAATGCTTAGTACTTCCTTCTTGATTAAATTTTTAAGTTGAGCGTCAGAAAGAAACTAGTTGCTGAGAAATGCATGTCTTTTTTTTTTTTTTCCGGATAGAGTGAGGCATTTTTCTATGTGCAGAGTTATATTAATTTTCTTGGGTTAAATACATGAAAAGCAAATGACTACCATGAGCAACCACTCCAATATGTTCAGTGCTGTCTGCTATTTTTATAGACCAAAACTACATATACTATACATTTGTGAATATATCCATCTGATCTTTTTGTGGACATCTCTGTTCTTCTGACTGGACTTAGGTGAATAACAAGTCAGTTAATCTATGATTTTTATCAACTTAACAAAATTTTCTAACAAAGATACCTTTGTGTATGTGAATACATCCACCTGATCTGTTGGGGGGAGACATGTCTTGATTTCACAGAATAGTGAGTCAACCATGTGGTTTTGATCAACTTTCCAGTTAAAAATTTCTGATCTAGTTTGCAGTGGGTCCGTGGGCTATGTTGTTTAGACTTGGTTTGATTATCGTATGTTGGTCTGCTAATAACTATGTGGAGCCTTGAGTTTGGCAAAGCATCATATTGCAATCCAAATTTGGGATGTCAGAAGTATATTCATTTTGTTTCTTGTGGAATACGAAAATTGGTTGAAAGTATTCTAATCATCCATCATCCTTTGAATATTAATGAGATTCAGGATTGCCATTAGCACCTTGTTCCTCATGGGAGCAAAGATTTTCTTAAGTTCTATTAGTTAAGGGAAAGTGAGCTTTGATTTCTCTGAATTTCGTTTGCCCCTTGAAAACATAGTTTTTTGTTCATGTTCTATTGAATCTGTATGATGGCCCTGAATATCTTTCCTAATTGGTAAATGGTGGAGGTTTAGGGTCACTGCATGTTATTGACTAGCGTGCAGCTCATCCAAACAAGCACCATGTGCTTAAAATGCAGAATAATCTAGAATGAAATGCTTCCTTTTATTTTTATTGTAAATTTAGCTGGGGAAGTGTTTGAATGTAAAGAGGTGCAATAAACATATATACATATAACTCAATATATATGATTATGACAGTGATTTAGTTGTGCTGCTGGTGCTGGTGCTGCTACTGTTATGATGATGGTGGTTATGGATGTTTCCTTTCCCTCTTTGATTTTATGCACACTTAAGTAGATTTAAGATGTTTTGATAAAAGTGCTGGTGTGTTTTTGTATTGATGTTTTGATGTATGTTTGGTTTGAAATAAAGATGCAACCTCCTATGCGCAATTTTGCGGGTGAATGCGATGTGCAAAATGTGCACTTTTTGATAAAGCTGATTATTTTACGAAAGGAAGAGATAGGATCAAATGCTTTTCTCAACTTTCAACTATTAATGGTTTTTTACGCTACCTTTTGACAATTTTCTACAGCCATTGATGGTATTGTGGTTGACAATATTATAATTTTTATTTAGTTACTAATTACTAATTTGTTGTGTATCTTTTGCAGTGGCTGATCAAAGAAATTAGAGTAGGTGCTGATCCATTGTGATCCTGAAGCTTTGCGAGTTGTGTTTATGATTTTGAAGTAGCATTTGGTGTATAGTGGAGAAGTTTTTGGTGCCTCGACGGGCTCCTGCCATTTAGCCACCGGAGAGTGGGTCTGTTAGCACTCCACATGTGGACTATCTGTATAATATTTGGTAGAATGTGGTCATGGTTAGGAAAAGTAGGGTTTGTTTGTGTAGCACGTGTACATTGCTAACTACTGCTGCTCATCCTAGTTTCAGGGACTTGGTTTTCGGTTTATTATGGCAGATTCAGGATTCTTTTGATGTTATATACAGAAAACAGCATTGTAATTCAAGTTGATGAAGTCATAATTGCTTCACATTAAATAATCTCTGTGAAAGGGCGCTTATCTGATGTGTTTGGTTGTTGGCAGATGATTTTCAGCAGTTTTATCAGACCTTTTTCTTTTTTGTGTAGGAGCAGTTAATGATGTGCTTTGACTTTCGATGGGGGGGTAGGGTGAAAATTTAATACTACTTTACTATTTTTTTTACCGTACTCCGTAGTTAGGTTACACTTGATGAGCAATGTGAGTTTTTAAATTAAATTTTGTAATATTTGGTAAGAAAAAATCTGTCCTATAAATATTACATTACAGTTATTACATTATAATCGATGATGTTTGGTATCTTGTAATGTAATTAGATTGCAACAAAGGCAATATTTTAGTATTTGGTATATAATTAAAGAAATGATAAAATGTAAGAGATAAAATTGTAACGTTGCATTTATTATTAAAAATGTAATATTAATTTTTTTAATTATCTTGAGGTATTAAAATATAAATTAAATATATTTATTTTTTATAATTAATTTTTATGTAATATGTGAAACATATTTTATTTTTTAATTTTTATTACAATTACATATATTATTTTGAATTTTTTAATATAATTTTTATATTTTATATTTTATTTTCTTTTAAAGACTGAATTCTATGGACAGTTCCATCATGGTATTTGTCAAGATAATGCTATTGTAAAACCAATGCAATCTCAAAGATTATAATTTATTCTGCAAAGTAAAAAAAATTTTGATTTATCATTTTTGTCCTTCATTTGAAAAAAAATACCAAACCCCTACTCTTAAAAAAATTGATTTATCCTTTTTGTCCTTTTCCGTTTGGAAGAATGCCATGCCAAAACCCTTTTTCAGTTTCTAACTCTAGGTATCGACTTCTTCTTCCTCCTTCTAGCTCGAATGGATCTGAGGACAATAAATAAATAAATAAAAGATTGGACGAGGATGGTGACTGAGAGTGAAAGTAGTCGTCGCTGGCTTGGAGAGGAAAGAGAAACTGGCTTACGCAGCCGTAGGAGAGCGTCGTGTTGACACTGCATCAATGAGGGAAACGATCAAGAAAATAAATAAACAAACAAGAACACAAATACGGAAGCACCGGCATTATTATTTTGATAACAAAGTCCACGCTTTGGCTTTCTTGTTTCTTATGTTTCATTTCTTATTTACCGCCATCTGATCCGTAATCCTGGTCATGAATCTCACCGTGATAGCAAGTGGTCTTGCCCTATTATGCATTGCAGTTCTCTCATTTTGGAGGGGTTGGTGACTGCTACAGTAAATCCAACCTTACTGTAAAGATAATTAATTTATCTTTAAAAAAATAATAAAAATTTGTATAACAAGTTAATAAGTAAACATGTATAACAAGGATTTAATTCGTAGTTAGGGTAGACACACACCAATTGCCATACATAGCCAAAATAAAACACTAGCTTAATAAACCTTATTTAATTGATTACAACAGACATTTAGTAACCCAATTAACTTAGGTATTTGTGCAAGAATCTCAATAGAGACTTATACATAACTTTGGATTCTAGGATAGTAAAACCACCTATGAATATAAATAATAAGAGAAGCTAGTATCAAATGAAGTGTTGAATAAAGCCATAATCTTAGGCTTTAATCTAATGCCTTTCTTAAATGAATTTTTGGTTTCTATTAACTAATTTGGTGTTTGCTTTAATTTGGTTTTAATTAATTTTCTAAAACATCAAATTACTTGAATAAGATTAATTTCTCATAATTTTAGATTTAGTGAAAATTTAGTATTTAGTATTAATTCAAGGTTTTCTTTTTCTTTGTTTTTTAGGTTTGTTCCATCATTATATGATAAGAGCGAAAAGCTTGGAGATTATGCTGTGTGATCTAGAGATTGAGAGAACATTCTGAAGTTTTTGATGAGAAAATCTACAAGGTTTTGCTCAAATAAATACAATGGTTGATCGATAAGGTGAGCAGCAAATCCAAGAGCGAATATTAGCTAAAAATAGTTGCTTAACGGATTAAAATGTTCCATTGGTACAACGAATTCCATTGAGCATTAGAAAGCTAGTTATTCAAGCCAACAATTTTGTGATCAAGCTGACTATCATCACCATGATTTAAGCTTCAATCTAGTTTGGGGGTTTTCTAAATAACAATCCAAATTCCCATAGTTTGAACTTCTTGGAGATATGTGATACCTTAAAACACAATGGTGTCATAAATGATGTAATTCATTTGCATCTTTTCCCTTTTTCTTTGAAGGACAAAGTTAAAACATGGCTAAATGCAATATCTACTAGATGTATAACAACATGGGATGAACTTGCTCAAAACTTCTTTGCTAAGTTCTTTTCTATGGTCGAGAAACCAAAAATAAGGAATTATATTACATCGTTCATGCAGCTAGATATTGAATCATTGTGCGAGGCTTGGGAAAGATACAAAGACTTGTTTAGGCGATGCCTTCATCATGGTCTTTCAAAGTGGCTACAAGTGCAAACATTTTACAGTGGATTGAGTGATCATGTTCGAATCATTATTGGTGCCACTGTGGAAGGAGCTTTAATGGCTAAGTTAATTAATGAAGCATATGATCTATTGAAAGAGATGGGTTCAAACAACTACTAGTAGGCAATAGTGCAATCAATGCATGGGAGAGTTGCTGGAGTTCATGACGTGGATGCCTTCATAACATTATCAGCACAAGTAGCAGTTTTAAATAAGATACTTGAATCTTTTAGTGCTAACTCCATTCAAAGCCTCTTCGTAGTTTATGAGTATTGTGGAGATGAACATGCAAAGAATTAGTGTCCAAG